CCCAAAAATCCAAATTTATCCATAATCATTTTCCAAACAAAATTTTCTAAACAATTTTCAAACAAATTTTCAAGCAGTTTTCTAAAAGAACTACGTAACCCTGATTTCTCATTTTGAATGAGAATACGTAGGAGCAAGGTCAATCCTTGTCGGGCCCAAAAAAATAAAAAAATATGTTTTGTTTATTCAGAATTTTTATTTTAGGGGATAGTTAAACATTTTGAAAACCACATCATATTCGTGCATTTAGTTAAAGGTACTGCCTTAGGGCAGGCGTTGTGGGGTGCTAACACCTTCCCCACGCGTAACCAACTCCCGAACCCAGAATCTGGTTTTCGCGGACTGTGTTTTATCGTTTTATGGTTTTCCCGTAGTTTCCCATAATAAACTATGGTGGCGACTCCAAAATCTTTTTTCTAAAGCCCCGTTTCTCTTTTTTGGATCGTCGTCCCGTCGCGATTCCGGTTGCGACACCTAGGAAAGTACATAGACAACTCATATAACTCAAAAGAATGTATAGACAACTTAATAATAAAGCATGTAAAAGCTTGATAGAATATGTTGGTATTTTAATAGAGAATCCAAATAGTTTGATGAGGAATGAAATAGTTTGGTGGAGCAAGTGAACAATTAAATAACTCAAGTCTCGATAATAATATAATATAATATAATCAATTAACAAATTACATTTTTACACAAATAAACCCAATTGGATGTTATGCACCCAGTAGCAACTTCCAAAAGGAAAGTTATACACTCTCTTAACAACTTCGAAGTTGAAGTTGTGAGTCTCTCTAACGATTTTTTTATTCTGATAAAATGACTAGGAAAGTAATATGGGAGTGTACCACTTTTTTATTTAAAATAATTTTATTGTTATACCATTTGTTTATTCTCATAATTTTTTTAATTGTCTATTTCTATGATTTTGGCACCAGATTTGTCTATTTTAGTAAAAGAACCGAGTTTGCATGAGGGCACCGCTCTCCACCACAATTGCCGCTACATTGCAACTGTTGGATCGCAAATCGCCACTCCATTGTCCCGCTGGACTGTGAATGGTCATCGTAGCCCACCGCTGAACCGCGAACCATCGCCGCCACTTTGACTATTATGGAAGTATAGAAAGCAAAATCATATTGCTAATCCAGCCCGTGATAAATTATTTCTTCTCCCAATTCATAAAAAAAATTCAGAATTATTTATTATGTTCTGGAAAATAAATTCTAGAAATGATAGAATGCAGAAAGAAAATGATGGAGTGCCATAGTTGTATAATTTCTTTTGAGACACTACTCCCATCGATTTTCTAAGTTCTTATTTTCTAACTTGTATGACTACGACACCTAATATTTTTATTTTATTTTATTTTTCCTTCTTTATTCTTTGAAACTAAAAATTCTTGAAAACATCTTCATCAAACAATAATTCTAAAAATACTTTAATTATAACCAAACTAGGTTTTGAAAGTTATAACCAAATGCTATGGTTTACTAGTTCGCAATATAAGTTGACTTTGTTAGCAGAGTTATTTTTTTTTACACATGAGTGGCGAGGTTTTTGAAACTCACAAAAATAAATAAGTGAAAATAAAATAAAATTTACATGTTTTTTTTTTATTGTTTTTCTCTTTCATTACAACACAACAAACTATTAACAAGGATGTAATAATAATAAAAAACAATAAAAGTAAGAAAAATAAAAAAGTAGAAGAATTTATTTAAAGGAAGAGAAAAAAAAAACAAATATTCCTGAGTTGGTTGGTATGCTGCCATAGTTGCTACCTTCATAGCATGCCATTTGCATATACTTGATCGGATCTATCACCGAACGAACCCTAACCAGTCTTTCTTAGGTCGCTATTTCTCCATTTTTTCTTCCGTTCATCGGCGATGGCATCACATTTACTCAATCACTCGGCCAAGGTGAATCATATTCTACCTCTCTACCTACCTACCGTTATCATTATCGCGTTTTAATGCAAACACAGGTTGGCATTTTTTTTTGTTTTCTGTTGGATTCAGGTGAGAAATGTTTCGAAGTTGCTGCACCACGAGCGTTATATGTTGGCGCGTTGGTTTTCCGGCGATGCTCAATCCTCTCTCAATAGGAGGCGCGGTAATTGCTTGTTTTCTTGGTTATTTCTCAATTGCAACTGAATTCATAGCAGATTTATTTGTGAATTTGGAATTCTGTGTTGGATTGACCTAATTAAACAGTCCTGTGAAACTTCGAATTTAAAAATGGGAATAGTGTAGAATGCTTGATTTTTTATAGGTGTATTGGCAACCAATTGGTGTTTTTAATTAAGGTGTTTGTGAGTGAGCAGCAAGTATAAGTTTAACCGTAGAGATTGTGTTGGAGAGGCTTGAAGTGATATTAGCATATTCTGGTGTTTGGGAGCCATTTGAATGCTTGGTGAAGGTGCTCCTCAAGTGTTATTTTATATATTAATAATTGTAGTTGGTTATTTGTTTAGATGTGTGGAAAACTCAGCTCCCTGAGTCTTCAACAAGAAACAGTGTCTTTGAGCCGGTCGTCGACTTTACTGTGAGTAAAACAAATTGGCATCCAAATTTAACAATATATCACAAGTTTTTTTTGTTTATGCCTTCAATATCTCTTTCTTTTCCTTGCCTATTCTGTTGCTTTTCACTTCCTCTTCCTCTTCCTCGGCATGTGTATATTTCCAGCTGACTTGTATTTTCTTTTTGATATAAACGTTCATTTGGTACGCAGAAGAGAAACATCTCCATGGCTAGTATCAGAAGGGGTTCCATCACCGGGTCTGGTTTCACCGGAGAGATTTCACCGTAGGTCACTTTATGTTATAATAATTTCTTTTTCCTTGCATATGTCTTGCTTCAAAAGGGATTAACAGTAACTCTTTTTTATTTTTAATCAACCGTGTTCTCAAAAAGAAGTTCACAGGTGTTGTCAAGGAGATGCTATGCGTCAGCCTCAGGTACAACCAATGGATCTTTGGGCTGTTAATTTTGTTTCCTCCATTTTTTTTGTTCGGTGTTACATTAAGCCTTTCAAAATATTCCTTGTTGACTATTTATATTTTGATCTTTTAATTCATGGGTCCTGATGAATTTGATTAAGATTGATGTCCTTTGACATTTAATGATCATGGAATGATATGGATGATTGGATAAGTAGCTTGGTTAAAATGTTCACTGGGTTTTTGCTTTGCATTTAGTTAGTCATCCATATATCACAGATTTGCAATAGGGTGATGCTTATCACCTATGTGGGGCTTTGAGTGCTTTCTTATGTCTTAAATTGTTGCATATCTGACACCTTCATAGTTTGGCAAATTAAATTTTGAAATTTGATTGAAATGGAAGATGTGTGTTGGACATGTGAAGCTGCATTTAACCCACTGCATCTTTTCTCCTGTACTGTACTGTTATTTTTTATAGTATAAATTATAAATAGACGGAGAAATGTAGTCAGTTGAGAATTGCAAATATAGAGCTACCTTAGCTAATCTTGGCCAGAGTTTCTAACTACTCACTAGTGTCCTTGACCTAGGATTGAGATGAGACTTTTTTAAATGGGGTCTTTTGATACTATCCTAAGGGCATCTCCATTGGTTACACAGTGCAGTTCTTACCAGTTAAGAACTGTGCTTTTTGTAAAAGCAACCAGTGGACCTTGTCAAGCACCAAGCACATTGTGTAAGTGCAGGTAGCTTTTAATGGTATGTAAGGTAATATTTACACAAAAAGATAGAAATAAGATGCATTATTGACTAGATAAATAAATGTGTGTTGTATAAAAGTATATAAAGACACATGCTAGGTTGGAGAGATGAACTTTTTAAATTATAAAATAAAAATAAGTGGTATGTAATGATAAGACCATTTAAGATGCATAAGAAATAAAAATGGGAGGCATTGTGTTGGAGATGGCCTAATAATCCTGTAAGCGGACCTAGTCCCCTAAAAGAAGTTGTTAGCTTCAGGTCCAAGGATAATTTATATCACCAATCTCCCAAATACAAAATAACTCTTTCAGCAAAAAGCATGGTCAATGCACTGTGCACAGGCATGATTTACCTTGTGCCACATTCAACTTATTTAAGAATAGGGTGGAAAGTTGAAACTCTTGATCACTTTATGTGGTAATAGATGTTCTGATCTTATGCTTTTTTTTGGTGGAGATACAAGCGTGAATGGTTTTACATATGCCTAACGTAACTAGACTAAATGTAATGTTTCTTTAACTTGTCAACATATATGAGTCTTTTCACATTATGCCGCAGCTTATGCTTCTCTATCATTTGTGTTTCCTTACAGGAGATGCCATGTACTTGATTCGTTGTCACCTAAAAATATAGTTTTTATGATACAAGAATTGTATCTTTAAAAATGTTTCCACTATCTTACACCTTTCCTTAAGCTTCCCTTTTTTTTTGTTTTTTTTAATAGAATATTATGTCTTGAGACTATATAAATAATACTGTACTTATTGATTTAATCTCCGACGTTGGTGAATATATTTCAGATCTACCCCCGCACCAGGAAATTGGAATGCCTTCTCTCTCACCTACAATGACCGAGGTTTTACTTTTCTACATCATATGTTAATGTCATTTAGTGGGTCATGGTTTCTCCTAAAGAATATTCCCAATTATATGAACTCCCCAAATATATACAGGGTAACATTGCAAGATGGTTGAAGAAAGAAGGTGATAAAGTTTCTCCTGGTGAAGTGCTTTGTGAAGTTGAAACTGTATGGTTCTTGTACCAGAGACTTGACACATAAAATACCTCTATTAAGGTTCTTATGCAAACATTGACATATGCGTATTTCATAGGATAAAGCTACTGTTGAAATGGAAAGTATGGAAGAAGGTTATCTGGCCAAGATAGTTCGTGGAGATGGGGAAAAAGAAATTAAAGTTGGTGAGGTATTGATATCTTCTGCCTCTCCCCTCCTCTCTTTTTTGAAAGGGACTTTTTATTTATTGTTCCACAGTTTGAAGTTGCAAGAAAAAAATGCTTATTTACACTCCGGACTCTGTTGACTTATGGAAGACATCACAATCGGTAACATGAAGAATTTCTTTCATAGGTAATTGCCATAACTGTTGAAGATGAGGGGGATATTGACAAGTTTAAAGACTACAAACCCTCAACATCTGAACCAAGTGCACCTCCTGTCAAAGAAACATCTGTGCCATCCCCAGCAAAGAAGGAGGCAGAGGAGCCTGTTCGAGAACCTGAGGCAAAGGTTTCCAAACCAAGTGTGCCAACTCCATCTGGAGATCGCGTATTTGCTAGTCCTCTTGCTAGAAAGTTGGCTGAAGAGAAAAATGTCAGTTATCAATAACAAATTATACGGTTGAAGGTCTTTCAGAATAGACATAGTTAATCTATATCCCTCACTGATGTAGGTACCACTCTCTAGCATTAAAGGAACAGGACATGAAGGACTAATTGTGAAGGCTGATATTGAAGATTTCTTAGGTACAATTATATCATTTTATATATATATTAATTTGTCTGTATACTGTACATATTATAGTGGAAACATTTCATTGTTATGCTAGATAATTCCTCACTTTGTCTTGCTTGCTCTAGGATATTTTAGCATGTGTGGCTGATTAAATTGATTATATGATAACCCTTTTTAGCTTCTGATGCAGCTTCTAGTCAAGTTTCCGCACCCTCAAAGGCCAAGGGTGCAACAGATGCAGCTCTGGATTATATCAACATTCCTGTCTCTCAGATACGGAAGGTAAATTGCTGAAGAAATCCTTAAATTTTATTAGATGATATTTCTGTTTCAAGTGATCAAAGACCAGTTTTTGGACCATGTCACATGATGTTCTAATTTTGTTGTAAACATAGTTTCATAGGGCTTCTTGGTACTTTTTCTCATAACTACTGGCATATTTTATTTTCTCCTTCTGTGTGTTCACTTCTATGTAAGTTCTGATCATAATATATGTTGTGTTGCGTAAGCATGAGTGATGTTTTTAAATAAAATTATATATTTTTACAGGTCACAGCTTCACGGCTATTATTATCAAAGCAAACTATTCCTCATTACTATTTATCAGTGGATGCATGTGTTGATAAACTCATGAGGTAATTCCCCGTAATCAATATTTGAAAGATTTACCCGCCATACATATTATTTCTGATAATTGGAACATTTTGTCTACAGTTTGCGGAGCAAACTCAATTCCTTGCAAGAAGCCTCTGGTGGCTCCCGCATATCAGTTAATGACCTTGTAATCAAGGTATTAGATTTTTATCTGACATTATATCTCTTCTTGTCTTGGTTGCTTATTTGGTGCTTAATAAGTAGGGAATGTCATTATCTTATCTAAGAAATAATACTTGTGGAATGCTTTATGACAGTTAAAAAATCATATTAAATAACTTTTCTCTTATTTGATGTTAGCTTAGAATTAAATATCTAACTGTTGAGTTAAATGGACCAATTTCCGTAGAAGGGACCCCTATTGTGTCTCTTTGGCTACATTAAGATCATAGTAAAACAGAACCAAATTCAGACTAACTTTATTAAACAGATTGTGAGCAAAATAATATTATGCAGAATATGAAAGGTGTTGCGTGCTTTGCTTGCCTTGGATTCAATGTAAATTATTTTTCTGTCTTCCATGTGTTTGTATCAACTAAAGTTATGCATTGCATCTGGTTACGTCCCTTCCATTCCTTTCTTCTCTTTATTATAATAAAAAGTCCGCAAAAGTCACACAAGTAAATATTTTCATTAAATCTTATTTATAACTAACTACAAACTAGAATAAAATTATAACAAAATGGCACTAACTGAGCAATAAATAAAGAAAAGGAAGGTAATTATTGGTGTAGATTGAATAAAAATTAAGTGTACACAACAATTATTAGTTGTGAAAATGCGGAATGCAGTATAGAAATGGATTCTAGCGAAATGTTATTACATGGCTCAACCTTCAAGGGGAGGGTTCAGCTATCTGACTTGCAATTATGGCCGAAAACCCTTGTCCCATAAATCACTAAAAGAGCTCTTTTAGCTTAAATCGGTTCTGTGTACGAGATATTAACTAACTTATGCATAATATGTGGTCACAAATTCAAACCTCATTGCCAGCATTGTAAAAATAGCACAAGAAACTAAGTTTTATATCTGTGCTTTTGATTTCAGGCTGCTGCATTGGCTCTCCGCAAAGTTCCTCAATGTAACAGTTCATGGGCAAATGATTATATTCGCCAGTAAGTCTTTTAGTCTTTCATTATTGGCTTCAAATTTGTGGATTACTTTAAGTTCGTTATTTTGTTTTTGTGCAGGTATAATAATGTGAATATTAATGTAGCTGTGCAGACTGATAATGGGCTCTTTGTTCCAGTTATCAGGGTTAGCAATGGCCTCTTTCTAGTATTTGAAATACAATTACAGCCTATATTCCAATCACAGGTCATCGTTTTGACACATATTCATAATATATGCAGGATGCAGACAAGAAAGGCCTCTCTACAATAGGGGAGGAGGTCAAACAATTGGCAAAGAAAGCCAGAGAAAACAGCTTGAAACCCCAAGATTATGAGGTTATTGGAGTTTCATGTCTATTTTTATTTATCTGAGAATAAAGACTACTTGAGCTGGTTTATAAAGTCTTGGGTTGAATTGCATTGCAGGGAGGTACATTTACAGTGTCTAACCTGGGAGGGCCATTTGGTGTCAAACAATTCTGTGCAATCATCAATCCTCCTCAGTCGGGCATTCTTGCAGTTGGATCTGGTAAGAATAGTTTTGCATTTCCCCCTTTTATTTCTTATATCAACTGCAATCACTTTTCTCTTAATGATTATTTTCGTGTGTCGCTGACATAATGAACAGCTGAGAGGAGGGTCATTCCGGGATCAGGTGCTGAAGAATTCAAGTTTGGTTCTTTCATGTCTGTGACCCTCAGCTGTGATCATCGTGTTATAGATGGTAATCATTCTTCGATGTTTTTTTTTTTTAAACTCAAAAGTTAATTTTGTGGTAAAGCATGTCAACAATACGTTTGTTCTTTTCAGGTGCAATTGGTGCCGAATGGCTAAAAGCATTCAAGGGCTATATTGAAAATCCAGAATCCATGTTGTTGTAAGAGCAAGTAGAAATCATAAATTATATTGTAAACGGGGGATGAGGTTTTGTTCACTCGGGTATTTCTATATTCCCATTTGGGTTTGGTTGATCGTGTACCTGATCAATTTTTGATTGAAGTGTTTAGTCACTTTAAAAATAATTTTTGGAGAAATGTGATTTTTTTAATAAGAGAGGGTAGATGAGGCATTTAATTTAAACCCACGAATTGTGCTCACAATAGATACCTCCCCAGATACACGGCTGATTATGTAACATTTTCTTTGTTTATGTTGCAAATATTTGAAATAACTTGCATTTTGAAAGAAAGTGTATTTAATATGTTGTTCATTTAGTTGGCCTTAATTTTGACAGTTATTGTCTTTTCAATTACGATGCCTTTATAATTGGACATTCAATATTTGTTCTCCTTGTGAGATATGGTTTTTAAAAATCGACTAGTTTAAGGTATTATCTATAGATTTTTCTTATCCAATCATGGGACATACCTTGAATATATAATAGTTGCATTAATACATTCTTATTAGATTATAGTGTACGAGTGCAAATTTATTTATTTTACTAATATCTTTTTTGAAGTCGTTATACTTACTATGTTTAATTATTCATTTATTTTTTATAATTGTGAAGATTTTATCTCAGTCCCTGCCCATAATTTTAATTGAACATTTTTAGACTACTACTTTTATTGCTTAAATTTATAGACATTAACATAAACTAAGATAAATATACGAACTAAAGAGTAGTTTGTTTTCTTTATGTAAATGAACGCATAATATACTGTTATATTAGTGATGATATGGTTGGAATATTTAAAAGAATTTTGTTTAAAGTAAACGTACAAGTACAGAAATAACGACGAATTTTGATAAACGATTTAAAAAACTAATAAAAGATAATGTGTATATAACCATATACATATATATATATATATATATAGAGACACACACACACATTAAATATAAAAAAAAATTCTAAATTAGACCAACTGACATTTCATTTGCATAAAATCAAGAAATTATCTCACGGATTATTTACCCTATATAGTTATATAAATAACTCATCTTCTCCATAATTGTTTAATAATCTAAAATACACTAATATTTATGTTGGAAATATGTTTTCTTTCAGTAGAGTTAGGTATAGTATTTGGTGTATATCTTGAATGTGAGTGTATGTCACCTAATAATTTAAAATTTGATGTTTATAAGTAGTTTAATACAGATTTTAATTTTTTTAAAAATAAACTATTTAAAAAATGGTTTTAAATTTGAAATATTTTGAGAATATTCTGTTGAAGGAAGACATGTTGAAATAGTTTGAATTTCATAAAATATGAAATTGTTTAGTAAAGAATGTTAGTAGCTTTTACAAAAAGCCAAACATGCCAAATTGAGAAACTGAGAAACGAAACAGAACCATGTATTGAAATACTTTTGGTGGATTGATGATATAGGTAAGACAACTTACATTTAAGCACACAATCCAAGTATTATAATTGTACTAATGAAATAGAGTCGACACTAAAAACTCAAGATAACTACTCCCGGGAAGGAACAAGAAAACAAATTGATGCAAGCATCTCATGTCACTGCATTATTAAGCCCTGAAATGAAACAGAAAGTATTAGCAGGTTTAGCAATGGTAAAACTGCTCAACATGTACAACTGCTGGATATACAATGTCATGGTCTTTCTACTTCTTTCGTGCAGAGAGAGGTAGAAGCAGTTAAAACAATGCAAATAATTTAAAGTTAAAATGAAAATGGAACCCAGATAACTTAATAGAGCTGAATGAACAGTGTTAGCCTATGCATTCTAGTTGATATCTAGATATCATGTCAGAAAAAGAAAAGAATCTGAATTTGGTCCAAAGGGAAAACACTTCATTACAAGCAGAGATACTGTAAACTAAAAAGGAATGGAAATGGGTGATGAGCGGGTGTGGTAATGTATGCAAAATGTAAACAATTTAGCACTCAAATGATTGTGTTGCAACCTAAGAGAAATCTCATACTTTATTGATAAGATCAGCACTAAATCATACTCTAATATCAAGCAACCATTAACCATATATAAGACAAGATTTCCAATAATCTGTTAAAACTTGAAAAAGATAAATTGATTACATAAGAAACCAGATCACCGATAAAACCATATTACCATTATCATCATCACGATCATCGAGAAGGATTGAGAGCCATGAGAAGGTTCTGTCCACCAGGCAAGTACGAAACATTTGGCGACTTCGCCAGCGTGGAGGCTATTTCCCTGGATGCTTCAATCCTCCTGAGCTCAATCAGCCCCATTCCAGCCGAGGCAGTAGCGTCGGAGATTAGCTTCGCCGCATCGCTCTCTCCCTCGGCACGGATAATCGCGGCCCGCCGCTCCTGCTCGGCCTTCATCACGACGAACTTGGACCGCTCAGCCTCCTGTTGTGCCACCTGCTTCTGCTCCACCGCGCGCGAGAACTCGCTGCCGTAGGAGAGGTGCGTGATGGCGACATCATCGAGAACAATGTTGAAATCCTTGGCGCGGCGAATGAGACTGTCACGAACGAGAGCGGATACCTGAGAACGGTCGGTGAGGAGCTGATCAGCGTTGAACTGCGCGACGACAGCCTTGAGGACCTCATTGCCTATGGACGGAAGAACCTTCTCATCGTACTCAAGGCCGAGGTTCTTTACAATAACAGGGAGCTTGCCGATTTCAGGACGGGATAAGACGCGGAGTGTGAGGTTGACCATCTGAAGGTCTTTGGTGCCGGAGATGGAGGAGAAGGTGTGAGGGCGCGTGCGGATGTCGAAGATGTAAGGCTTCTGGACCCACGGGATGAGGAAATGGGTTCCCTCGCCTACGGTGTCGTCGAGAATGCCTCGGAAACGGTCGAATAGGACGGCACGCTGGCCACCGTCGACTGTGTATAGGGAGGAGGATAGGGCGGTGGCCGCCACGCCCAGCCCGAAGGCGGAGCGGGCAAGATTCGTCAGGAAAGAGACGGCGGCTTGGCTGCTTCCCATTTGGTAGAGGGATTAGGGTTTTGGATGGTTTGCTCGACTTTCTTGATGAGTTTGATGGGTTTTGGGATGTTGCTTTCTTGGTAAGCTTGATGAGTTTTCGGCAGGGAAATGATATTTTAACCTGTTTTTACAATTAGTCATGCTTTGTTATTTGTTCTTTGTAGTGACTTGGCACAGATGATTGATTTGACTGGATTTAAGAGTAATTTTTTTTTGTTGTTTTTTTAGTGAAGTTGTGAGTAATCAAGGGTGAATTTAGAAGCAAAGTTTGTGAGAACGAGAATTAATGTAAGATTTGATTTAAATTAGTTTAATTAGTAAAAATTAAATATTACTAAAATATTCCTAATTAATAAAGTAATATAAAATGTTATTTATTAATGTGATATTTAATTGTAAAAATGTTTATAAAGAGACCAAAATCATAAATATTTTTAACATTGATTTTTAAAAATTATAATGTAGTAAAATGAATTTATTTTTAAGTAGTATTTGTTTGTAATATAATTTACTAACAAGTAGTATCAATTTATTTGTTACGGAAGTGAGATTGATTAATTTTAAACAAACATATAATTATACGAAGTTAAAATATTACATGACCTAAAAAAAGTGTCAACATAATAACATACAAATATATTTGTAATAGTTCATGATGACCTTGCTTCACTGAGGTATCGTTGCAATCTATTGAAACGATATTGTATTGGCATCCCTATTAGACGTTTTGTATGAGATGGATGCGAAGATAATAGGTCGAAGCACTGTCTGAATAAATTATGATCTTCAATGTTCATAGTCCGTAATAAGTTTTTCTGTAGTTGGATTAGATGATTGAATCTTAGCATTTACCAGGGATATTCGACTCTCCATGGCCTATGTATGTCGTTCAAGAGCAACACATAGTCTTCTTCTTTGATTATTTAGTTGTTGCAGTTCATTTATGATTCGAGAATCCATCTGATTTGCATTTCATTAAGTTGACCAATAAATAAAAGTATGAAAACTAATGTCAAAGATTCCTAACATTCAAAAATAGGTAATGTAAGTTATGAAACACATAAGTCAATTTAAGCAAAAAAGTCATGTAATACATTCTCGGAATAGTAATCAACTTAATCATCTAAATGGTGAAGAATTTAGTTAACATTTTGATTCAGGTGAGCAAATTGGCGGTTCATGTCGAGGGATAGGTTTGCCAAGTTATCTTCAATATGTTTAACCCGCACTTGCATTTGTTCCATACCCTGCATTCTGTGTTGCAAGTCTTGTACCCCTTCCCACATTTGAGTCA